GATATTTGAGGGATATTTTTATTCAACTCATCTTAAATGGAGAGAAGTATAGTTCACTTTCAAGCTAAAAAATGTTGTTGCCTGGGATAAATGTAAATCTGTTTTTTATCTATATAATACCTTTCTTTATCAAATATTTGCAAATAATTTTGTTCAATTTTAATGAAAATCATATATCCACATGCAGTGCAATTTTGTAATTGACTTATTTAATATCTTTTTCGCTTTGATACGGATACCGATAAGAATGAATTTGTAAGCTTGCTTTTATTGCGGGCAACGTTTTGCTTATATGGTTGTTACCACGTTGATGAGCGCTCCCACATGTGTGCTTTTGGTAATTTTCTAGCTATTAGCTTAATTTAGGACACACACCTTCACACACACGCACACACCCATAACGCGCACGTGTCCTGGAGCTGGCTCCACGGCGTAATTGTTAATTAAAAAAGCGCTGAGGGCCCGACTTGTTTACACAACGACCTCTCCGAGTCGTCCCCCTGACCAGGGCCAGTTAAAGGTGTTGAATAATATCATCAAAGTCCAAAACGGACCCGGAATTATATTTGAGCGGTCTTAGAGTCTGACTCGTTGAATGGAGCATGGAGTCCGGCTTTTTTATTGGCATCGTAAAATTGTTTGGAAAATAAGTTTACGACATATATAACTCGAATATTTTGCTGCTCCAATACATTTTTAATGCCCGCTGGGCTGGGGAATTCGGTGTCGAGCAGCTAAGTAATTGAGTGGCAAGGCCAACGAAATGTGGAACACTTTTTGATTGGATTGCAACATAAACACAGTTGAATCAGGACTCGAAAGGGAATATAAAAGAATATATATATATATATATGGGGGCGACGAAATGATATATGACAGAGGCGCAGAACTTGAATGTGTTATTCTTGGATTTGGGCAAACTTTGCACAAGCTCTTGCGTTCTTTCGGGTTAATTTAGATGACATTTCATATACCAGCAAAAACGTCTGCACAAATCTCTGTCAACCTTGACAATTGCTTGAGAACAACGGCCATCAATCACATCGCTACAAGGCAAAAACATCAATCAAAGCAGCTGTGCGAGCATCTTGGGTTAAGGAAAAACTAGCCCAAAAAGCGTGGCGCCCCAAAAAGTAGACTCGAAATGGCGTCCGTCTGGGCGGAACAGTCAACATGTGTGCGCCAAAGCGCCAGACATGTCAACCAAATTGAAAAATCCCATTTAAATGCAAGTCGTTGCTCCACAAAACTGATAGAAAAGAGTTCAGCCTGGAATGGGCGCTGCTGTACCTGCGTGACAGCACGTAAAAAGCTGGAGAGCTGGGAGCTGGAAAGCTGGCAGCTGGGAACTGGGAGCTGGCGGCAACTGTTAGAGTTGCAATTGTCTGGCTGGCTGGCAGTTCGTGCGCCTAAATGTATGCTATTGTCAGGGCACATGGCAATACAAGTACATTCACTTAGTGCAATGAGCAAAACCAACCAGAAACCAGCCATATGACAGGCAAATGACACACACACACACACCCGGACACATACAGGCATATTCACGTAATGCAAATAGTCCGTGCTGCCGGCTGTGGCGTGTGTCTCGCTCAGGTAACCCCTTTCAATAGGCAGGTGTGAGGAGAGCCTGGCTGCATTCGAGTCGAGTAATTGAACGGGCTACCTGAGCACGTGTGTGTGTGTGCATGTGTGTGCGTGTGTGTGTGTGTGTGCGACTCTTAAATGTGATTTTAAAGTCAACATTGAGCCCTTTTGACATACGAACTGCCAGTTTTGGTTTGCCGCTTGTCTCGGTTTAGCTCCGTGTCCATGTCCGTGTCCGTGTCCGTGTCCGTATCAGGCTGGGGCTGCCATCTATCGCCCGTGATAATGGTCATGTTGTGTACAATATGATATGATGCCACCCATTTGCTGTTAACCCCTTAACCATCTACCGTTATGATCAGCTCACATTGCTGGTTAATATTGTTGGCTTGGCATGCAGCCAGAGTCGGGCGCCAGCCATTGGCAAGCGATGCAGCGGTAGGCGGACGTGTCATATGGCACAGGATGTGGAAGGGGATGAGTATTAGTATTGGATATATGTATATGTATATATGACTGCTGGCAATGAGAATCATTCTAAAAGGGCACGAACTTGAAGTTGGAGTGCTTTTAGTTTAGCTTAGCTGCACACGTCTTTCAAAACAGTGAGAAATTTAATATTCTATTATAAGCCAAAAAGTTGTGAATAGAACAAAGCTTAGATTTAATAGTTGATAGAATATTTTAATTTAAATTTCCAATCTAACAAAGTTCAGTTAAGTCAAAATAGCTGAAATCGATCTCAGCTGAGAAAGTTTTTTTTATAATAATAAGTTGTAAATTGGTAGAGATTTTTTTGTTAATTGTAAAATTTGTATCAATTTAAAAGCTGCACATTTTTATATTTATTGTACAGCTTAAATTATTTAAAGGGATTTTAAGTTAATATAAATTTTATGCCAGAATTATGATGTGTGCGCTTTATTTATTGTTGTTTGCCTTTTCTTAAAATATAACTCAAAATTAATTATTACCATTGATGAATGTCTCTAAATCTTTAAATCAAAGGGAATATGTTTAGATTATCTATGCAACGGAATTCATTTTGTTTTAAACGCGTTTAATTAAAAAATATGAGGCTTCTAAATTGTTCAATCGATGTAGCAAAAATTAATTAATTAATTTTTGTATGCATTATACAAATATTCAATGTGCATTATACAAAATATTGAATGCCTTGTTAGTACGATAAATGGAAACAATTTACATTTTATTTCATTTTTCAAAAAAGATGCTGGAATAAATTAGAATCTTAATTTATCAACCAAAATTTATAATCATCATTATTTAAGCTTTAATGTATGGCAACTCGAAATCCGGCAACTTACCAATAAACTGTTCCCATTAAATTTGCCAATAATTTGCATTCCATATGCTATCCGAAATGCCGTCCCCATTTCTTCTGGTAAAAGGCAATATCGTGCAAATAATTGTAAAGAAGACCAATAAAAAACTAGGCGCCTTTCGCATTTGACAAAGGCTACCACGCTAAAGCCAAGGACTCGACTTTTAATTACGTTGTTTTTTACACCTTAACGTGAAAGAAATGGCTGACACAACTAAGAGCTACTCTTTAAAATAAATAAATCTCAATAAATCTTAAATGATATATACAAAACTCCTCTCAAAGTTGTACAAAAAAAAGTATGACAATAATCAAAAGTTCTCCTAACATCGAAACTGGTGACGCATTTGCCCAGGTGTGCGGCTTGTGGGTAGCTACTAAAGGCTAGAAATTGCCACGCTTTTGCTATTTGTGTGTTTGTTTGCTCTTTGGTGCGATGGTCAACTGTGCGCTGGTCAATGATATAAACGAAACGATAATTTCCGTTCGTTTTGGTGCTGGTTGCCTCGATTTCGTTTTGGCTGTGGCAGCAAAGTGCCCACTGACATGCAAATTTCCATTTAGTGGAAAAGCTTTTTGGTCGCACGAACTGCGATGCGAATATGACATGGGCGGGCAACAGTTGAAAGTGCTGCTGCAGATGGGTAGAAAGGAGCCCTCACATTTGTGTTAGTTTTCAAAACGTGCCACAATAGTTAATTGAGCAACGTTTTCCATTTTTTACTACTTTAGCTTAAAGTTCTACTTATACTATATGAAAGCTATATTCGCTTATGTACAATATAGATCTAGCTCTGGGATTGGACTACAGTGCTGTATCTACTTTTAAGGATATCTGTTGAAAGCTCCAGGCAACTGCCCAGCGTGTGGTGTGTCCCTGATGAAACTCCGTGGTGGATACATTGCTTATTTGGCGTTTATGTAAATAGTCCAAAATCTTTGGCACGTTGGCCTTTACGCCCAGCATGCTGGTAAAAATGCTGCAAAAGGGAAAACGTATTAAAATACGGATATTTTTGTAGGGTGCAGTTGCACTTACAGCACGCGCTCCTTATGCAGCTCGCTCTCCTCGACAATACGCTCCACAAATTGCACCTCGCCGCCGGCACAGGTTAGCTCTTCGGCACTGCCGGTGCGCACATTGTTGGGCGCCGGACGACGCTGTGGATTGCGCGTGTTGCCGCCAAACGGATTATCTGCGTTCGAGTCGAAAAAGGGCGGATTGCAGAGGCAGAAGTGGAAGCCTTCCTTAGGCAACATGCTGGCGGTCTCGAAATAGCTCTTGAAAATGTTATCCTTGTCCGGTTGTGCATACACTTCCACCAGGGCCTCCAGCTTATTGCGCTTCACATTCTCGCGGGCGTACTCAATGTTAATTTGCTTCGACTCCAGGGCCAGCATGTGCCATTGATTCTTTTTGGCTGCCAGCAGCGAGTAAATGCACGAGGAGCCGCAGCCTGCAATGAATTAGTTTAGTAACAAGTCTCTTGAATAAAGGACAGCAACTTGCCAATGTCGATGCCGCGCACTGTGTCCAATTTGAGAGGCGCTAGCAAATCCTCTAGCCATAAAATGTAGTTCAGGCGCAGCGCCAAAGTGGGCACAAGGCTGCCCGGCGCAAAGTCCACGTGCAGTCCAAAATATTCAAGCAGCAGCATTTTGGTTAACTCTCGCAGTGTTCGTTCATTACGAAAGTTAAGCGATACCCTGCCATTGAGCTCCTGCAAAGGATAATAGAATACATATATTCATAGTAATAATAATTGTGAAGTTCACAACTCACCAACTCACACACTTGTCTAAAGTCCTTGTGCTTGATGGCCAATTTGGTGTAGTCCGGCGCAGTGCGCAACACATTGCGCGGATGCATAGCAGACTTTTTATTGCTATTCTTCACCATTTTATTTAACAAAATAAAAATATTCACAACAAAACGTTTAAATTGAATTCAATACAATTAGTGTGACCGTTTATTAGCCGGCAAAAATACGAATACAAAAAATACTGACCAAAAGATACTGTAGTTGGGCACACTATTGATGTTGTCGCTGTTAATTAACATCGATCTGTTATAGAAAAGTTATCGAATTGCAATAACAATATTTCACAAGCCGAAGTCGTTTGCAAGTTTTTGTTAATTTAATTCAGTAAAAATGTCGGAAACCAGCTCCAAGGAAAACGTAAAGACCGCAATGACATACATTTGTGGCGGTAAGTTAACAAACGAGCCGAAGCTCAGCTAAAAGAAGCAACAGCATGCTGCCGCACAGACGCGCACATGCTGCGCCTTCTATAAACATTTACGTTTATTAATGCTGAATTCTCCATGCACTATTTAAACAGAATGCCATCACGAGAACGAGATGCGTCCACGTGATCCCATACGTTGCCGCGAGTGTGGCTACCGTATCATGTACAAGAAGCGCACCAAGCGTCGTAAGTACCGAATCTCTGGGATACCAGTGCCTCTCAAACTGTATGCGCCGAATAACATTTCGATTTCTTGCAGTTGTCGTTTTTGATGCACGTTAAAGTTTTCCGGACCACAATTAACAGGGATTGAGAACTATTTTTAGAGTTTAGCTTGTAGTTGAAGAATATATTTTAATAAATATAAGAGACTTGTAAGCATTCAATATAATGTTGTTATGTTGTGAGTATTGGATTGGCAAAATTGCAGAATTCGATTTGATATAAACTAGGATCGAAATATGATTGTAAGCTATGAGGAATTTTAGAGTGATTAAAAGTGTAAGTCCCTTAATATCAATCGTCTTACATTAATTTACTACCTTTAAAAGAGTCTGGTCATGTCGGGGCCTTTCCCTCGATGTTATATTCCTTACTTTTACTAATTATGTATCACAGAGTTGAAAGTGAATCCATTTGGTGTAACTTCTCGGTGACAGGAAAGAGATTGACACATTTAACAAATTAATGAGGGCTGCAAATAGGAGAAATTCCATTTTTAACAAGAAAGAAGTGCTATCTTCGGCACACCGAAGATTTAATACCCTTGCAGACCCAACCTTTTCAAAATGCTCATAGTGCTTTGCCCGTATCTAAGAAGCACAGGGAAAATAGTTAATGCCGAGTATGGTTAAGATATCTTGAAAAACAAAACAGGTTTCCATACAACAACTTAACTTTCGACCGATCGTTCCTATGGCAGCTATATGATATAGTGGTCCGATCCAGCTGGTTTTGACATATGAGCTGCGTGCAACAGAAAGAGGGAATTCTGCAAAGTTTCATAAAGATAGCTTTAAAACTGAGAGACAAGTTCGCATAGAAACAGACAGACGGACAGACGGACATGGCTATATCAACTCGGCTGTTGATACTGATCAAGAATATATATACTTTATGGGGTCGGAGATGTCTCCTTCTATGCGTTACACATTTCACGACAAAATTAAAATACCCTCTGCAAGGGTATAAAAACACAGTGTTTATATTGTCCAAACCAACGTGTTGCTTTTTCCCTCCCAGGTTTGGTTTAAACTCTGATTTGCCACATATTTTTAAAATCTCAATAAAATAATTTAATCTTGCACATTTTCAAAAAACAGTTGTGTTCTAAACGGGATACTTACCCAAAATTGGGATATGCCAAATATGGTTAGATTTATCAAATGGGACCAATCTATACTTTGAGACTGTTAGTGCTGGACCTATGCCAAATTATCGTCTGAAGAGGATAAAAGATCCTGTCAATTATTCTTTTGTAAATAATCGAACTATTGTAACTACTCTTTCTTTCTTTCTACGTCCACAAGTCACTTTACAGAGCATTTATTTGTCGTATAAATCCAGGTTTTTTGTTCCAATTTATTTTATTTTAAACGTAAGTCCTTAAGTCCTGCATAAAATAAACAGGCTCGTGCCTGAAGTCAGAAAATCTTGACTAAATCTAGTTCGCAAAAATAAAACAATTTGATTTCTATTTTTTAAACTAATTTACTTTTATTTGAATGTTTTTGGAAATATAATTTTTAAACTAAAAACACTTATATTTGTTTGTTGTTTTTTTTTTTTATTACTCATTTATTTTTTTGCAACTGGTGCTTAAATAAAATGTAAAGTAATTTGTTCTTTAGTTTTGTTTTTGTTTTTTTGTTTACTCATAAATGTCTTTTTTCGTCTCAAAAATTTTGTCTAAATGGCTTTTGTCATCCAAAAATTTACTTTACTTAAGATTTCTTGTTGCTTTCTATATTTTTATTTATTTTGTTTTTCATTTTTTGTTTTTAGTTTATCGTTTGGTGTAATAAATTTACGTTTAAGTTTACCACATTTAGCAAAAACACACATTTTACACTAGAAATTGTTTATAGCATTTATTTGTTTTATTTTTATTTGTATCTTTTCTTAATATTTCCCCGACACTTTTCAGTCAAATATTTTCTTGTTCCGTGTGTGGTAAAAAGTTAATACATATTCCGTATATATGTATGTATTTATATAATATATATATATACATATATATATGTATATATATCGTATTTTCTTTGAGTATTTTGTATTGTTCTTGTGTTTTTTTGCTTGTTTTTTTTGTTTTGTTTTCATTGATAAAATCATAAATACAACTACACGTACGTTAATATGGTTGTGATTTTTGTTTTTGTTTCTGTTTTTATCAGTTGTATTATTTATATAAACTATTTGCCATATGCATTGTGGGCGTGGCTGTTGCTCAAAACTAAAACTAGAACTAAATAAATGTACACAATATGCAATGTTCATGTTGTTTAAAGCTTAATTTAAAAAATAAGGCAAAAAGGTATTTGAGGTTTGCATTCATCTTGTATAAATTAAATATATATATGTATATGTATGTGTATATGTGTGTGTGTGTGTGTGTGTGTGTGTGTGTATATGTAAATGTATGTGTGTAGGGAATACAACTTAAACAACTAGAAAATAACATTCGCGCTATGTTCAAAATGGCAAAAATTATACTCGTATTAAGTAACTAAATGATGAAGTTTTTTAATGGCAAATTAAAGCTATTTTGCTTCACAAATGATTTTGCAACGAATCTCAGGACATTTGATAAATGCTCATCGAATATCTCTTCCTAGATTCTATTAAGTGTGTTCTTTATAAATATTTAAGTGTATGGGTTTCTTTTGTTGTTGTTTTTTAACACTACAAGGTGAGTATACCTGTGTATTAGTGTGTAAGTGTGTGTGTCTTTTACATAACCTCAATTATACAATGAATATAATGTGAAATTTATCGAAATGGGGGCGTTGCTTTCTACATTATTGTTTATAAATGATTTTTGTTTTTTATCTTTGTTTTTTCTTATTTTTCTTTTTTGTTTTCTTTTTTTTTTTTTGTAAAGAGAAATCATATTTCAGGTACATCACAACTTAAAATTTAACAAATAAATGCAAATTTTTAATGAATTTTCAATGTTAACGCCTAATGCATAATAAATGTATATGGCAAGCAAAACATTTGCTAAAATAAATGAGAGAGTGTTTTCTCTAAACGAGAGAGAGAGAGAGAGTGAGAGTGATAGAGAGCTAAAAGTTTGTGTACGCTTTACAGTTTGGCATGCCTAAGCCGGCGATGCAGCTGTAAACTGTAGCGCCGCTCAAACCGTGCGCTGCACTGCCTACAATCGCGCGACGCGACCTTCAAAGCTCGATGCTTCCAAAACCGATGCAGCGCCAGAGAGCCAAGCGTGTGGTAGTTGAAGCTTATGCCGCCGCCATTGCGCCGCCGGCTGGCCGAGCAGCTGGCGCAGCCCAATCTCTGATGCACCAGCTTATTTAGATGCTTGTCCCGCAGCATGGCTACGACCACCTCGGGGGCGAGACGTATTTTCTTTGGCTGCGACTGTTTACGTGAGCTGCGTGCCGTCTCTGCCTCAGACTTTTTGCTGAAGTCCAGCGGCGCCGCTAAATATTCTTGCTTGCTAGCTGCATCGGCCAGCAGTGGCAGCAGCGTTGCCAGCTGATTCAAGGACTTGCGCGAGGCGTTAGCAGCGCTGCTGCAGGCGATGCTGTTGCTGTTGTTGTTGTTGGTATTGCTACTGTTGTTGAGAGCATTTTGATTTACTGCTGGTACTTTCTTGGGACTTTTGCGTGGTGCTGCCAGATCCAGCTGACGTTTGAGTAGCGACTGCGGCTGTGAAGCCGGCGCTGCTGTTGACTTTAACGGCGCACTGTTATTGCTGCTGCTGTTAGGCACCTTGGGCGTTATGGTAAGCGTGATGTCCTCCTTGTTGCGCAGATACTCTATGTACTCCTCGGTCTCGCTCAGTAGGCGTCGCCGCTTGCTGGGCGACAACGTTTGCTCACGTTCACGCTCTCGTTCCCGCTGCTGACCTGTTGTCGTTGCTGTTGGCAGCGCTGCTGCGGCAGCAGCCAGCATTAGGGGCGTCTCAGCTGCATAGTATTTGTTAATAATATCCTTAACATAATTCTGAAATTGTGTTCCAATGCGATTGAGATTCTGATATTCCATTTGTGTGAGAAAGGGTGTGTTGTTATTATTGTTGTTGTTGCTGCTGCTGTTCGGTGTTGCTGTTACTGCAGCCACTGCCGCAGCAGCAGCAGCAGTTGCTGCCGCCGTCGCTGCTGCGGCTGCCGCTGCTGTTGCCTCAGTGCTGCTGGTGTTGTTCTCTTTATCATCTTGACGATGATGCACGGCATTTCTGTGAGATTTCTCTTTGAAATAGCTGTTGTTGTTATTATTATTATTGTTATGGTTGTTGTTGTTTAGTTTATACGCGGGAGACGATTTAATAAGCTGCACTCGCTGCTGCTGCTGCTGTTGTTGTTGATTCTCTTGATCTTCGTCATACTCAATTTTGAGCTTTCGTTTGCTGGCGAGCAGCTCGATGGCCGTTTGTTCGTAGGCTGCTGCCTCCAGAAATGCCGTTGCCATCAACGCCTTGTTGCTCTGCTCTTTGTGCTCGCTCTCATCAGCAGCTCGCAAGCTTTTACCGTTGCTGTTGGCATGACGCGACAGTTTCATTGGTGAGGTTGCGCCCGACATGTTGTACTCATCACCCGAGTACGAGGATGACGATGCCGATGAGGGCGTATTCTCATCATCCTCTCCCGTCGAGTGTTGTCTGGCGCGTATCACGCCAAACTTTTGACGCTGTGCAATGTTGCTGCCGCCGGCGCCGCTGCTGCTGCCGTTGATGTTGCTGCTGCTGTTGGTGTTGCCGCTGTGATGGCCGCCCATGCTGCTCAGGCTGTGCAGTAGCGCAGCAGCCTCTCGTGTCGTCCATTGCGAAGGCAGTTTATTATTGAACAGGAGTTGATGATTAGCTGGTATTTTCAACTCGTGCACGCCTCCCGCTTTATGAAAATCCTGAGCGACCGAAGCTGTGTTGCGACTAATGGCGTCCATTTTTAGCAGACTGTAAGAGTGACAAAAAAACACATGAGATCAGATTGGGTCTTATTATGGGAGAATGGTAAAACAAAAGATAATGAGTAAAAATGTAAGTCAAAATAAACACAAAGTTTTATACACAAATTTAAACGCAGCAAACAAACGGAACAAAATTATGAATTTTGGCAACAGCGCATGGAAAAAAAATTTTTAATATAAATTCAACTTTTAATTTTACACCAAATAGGAGCCAAACTTGAAAGTTGACAACATTTTAAA